AGCCGTTTAATGTTAGAGGAACATCAATAATTATTAATGAATTTGACGGCTGAACAAAAGTCAGTTTATGAGAAAATTATAGTAGCAGTGGATGAAGCCAAAGGTGTATTGTTCTTTTTATATGGTTATGGAGGAACTGGAAAGACATTTATTTGGAAGACTCTATCTTCAGGCATACGATCTCGAGGAGATATTGTGTTAGCTGTTGCATCAAGTTGGATTGCATCTCTTTTGTTACCGGGATGTAGAACCTCGCATTTGAGATTTGTAATTCCTCTCAATCCAATTGAAGATTCAACATGCAATATAAAGCAAGATAGTCCTCTAGAAAAATTGATCGTCAAGGCAAAGTTGATTATTTGGGATGAGGCACCGATGATGCATAGATATTGTTTCGAAACTCTTGATCAAACTATTAGAGATATTCTTATACTTGAATACACATCTGGTGTAGATCGACCATTTGGAGGTAAAACCGTTGTTCTTGAAGATGACTTCTGACAAATTTTGCCAGTCATTACAAAAGGTAATCGGCAAGATATTGTTAATGCTGCTCTAAACTCTTCATATTTATGGCCTCGCTGTGAAACATTAAAACTAATAAAGAATATGAGATTGCAAGGAAATCAGTTAGGGCCACATATAGATGAGTTAAAAGAATTTTCAGATTGCATTTTGGCAATTGGTGATGAAAGAATTGGAAGTTCTGTTGATGGCATTGAAAATGTCCGAATCCCTGATGATCTTCTCATACATAATTGTGATGATCCAATATATGCAATTATAGAAAGTACTTATCCTGATTTCTTTAACCATTCCAACAACGTAGATTACCTCCAGCAAAGAGCAATTCTTGCTCCGACTCTTGACATGGTGGAATCTATCAATGAATATATGGTTTCACTAAATCACAATCCTGAGGAGACATATTTGAGTTCCAATACATTTTGTATGTTTGATCACGCTTTTACAGCTTTGGAGTACATACACCGGAATTCCTAAACAATATTAAATATTCTGGAGTTCTAATGACTCTATTACTCTAAAGGTTGGTGTTCCTGTGACAACAATAACAATAACAACAACAACAACAACAACAACGATCCAATATAGTCTCACAAATGGGGTATGGAGAGGGTAGTGTGTACGCAGACCTTACCTCTATCCTGATGGGGTAAAGAGGCTATTTCCGATAGACCCTCGGCTCAAGAAGACGAAAAGACGAAAAGAGATAATATATTAGTACCATCAATAAAAAAATCATGAAAATAATAACGTCATCACAAAAACCAGTGAATAAATGAAAAGCAGAAATAATAACCAATAAATAAGGCCCTAAACTATGAAAATGGAAGAGTAGTGAAAACACAACACTGACCACTAGCAGTCTAAGACTAAATCCTAAACTCAACACAACCTTTACGAGGTGGTGTTGTGTTTTAGTCTCCTATCAGCCTAGCCTCACACTGGTAGACTAAATAAACTCAACTACCTCCTAACCAATAACCTTAATGCTCAGCCTCCACAGCTTCCTATCGAGTGCCATGTCCTCAGAGATCTGAAGCCTTGCCATATCTCGTCTGATCACCTCTCCCCAATACTTCTTAGGCCGCTCTCTACCTCTCATCTTACCCACCAATGCCAACCGCTCGCACCACCTTACCGGGGCATCCAAGCTCCTCATCTGAACGTGCCCGAACCATCTGAGCCTCGCTTCTCGCATCTTGTCATCAATAGAGCCACGACCACCTTCTCCCGAATATCTTCATTCCTAATCTATTCATCCTAGTGGGCCCGCACATCCACCTCGACATCCTCATTTCTACTACTTTCATCTTCTAGGTATGTGAGTTCTTAACTGGCCAACACTCAGCCCCACACATCATGGACGACCTAACCACCGCTCTATAAAACTTTGGTGTTCCTGTGACGTTACTGAGAAATATAGATCAGTCATCGAGATTATGCAACGGTACAAGGTTGATCATCACGAGACTTGGGAATCGGGTTGTTGAAGCCAATATTTTATCAGGTAATATGGCTGGAGAAAAAGTGTTTATTCCAATAATGACATTGACTCTATTTGATGCGAGAGTACCTTTTAAATTCCAGCGACGATAATTTTCAATTGTGGTATCTTTTTCCAAGACAATTAATAAAAGTCAAGGCCAGTCAGTGTCTCATGTGAGGTTATTTTTGAAGAAATCAGTGTTTACACATGAACAATTGTATATTGCTCTTTCACAGGTGACAAGTAGAATAGGGTTAACAATTTTAGTTTGTGATAATGATGGACAAATAACAAATGAAGCTAGAAATGTAATGTATAAAGAAGTTTTCTGTAATTTAATTTAATACATTATTAAATGATTTATTATTTAATTATTATGTATTATTGTTGTCTTCTGATTCTTTGGTCTTAGGTATCATTTTTAGTTCATATTTTAATGTGGTATAACATAAAAAGATGTAATCTGCAGTTGAACTCTGAACAAATATTTCTGAAAACAGTAAACAAAGAGAAATTGAAACCTATTTGCCATAGATAGTGACAATAGCAGTAATAAATTGGATGATAGTATTTATTTTGTGTGAAACTTCCAACTTGCATATACATGCTTTAGCTTAAACTTGCATATATGTGTGAAACTGAAACCTGCTTGTAGAGTCACGAGTGGTGTCTGGATTTCCAGCATCAAGTCGTGAGTGATATCTGAATATTCTGTATGAAACTAAAACATGCTTGCATATATATGTGCTCTAGCTGAACTGAAACCTGCTTGCAGAGTTATCCCCTAGTGACAATAAAGATATTCAACACCAAGTCAAATATTAAGTCACAAAAATGACTTACTTGCATTTTAGCGGTCTTGAAATGGGGCAATTATGGTCCAAATTTACTGCCTAAAGGGCTTTTTGTTTCTATGGCAGTTCACCAAAGGTGATAGGTTCCCATTTTTCCAGCGCATCACTCCTAGAATCTTGAAGCCAATTAAGTATTGGCTTATTATAATCTACAGCAGCAGGATGCCTCCACAAGGAAATAGCCCGAAGGATCATTCTGGCATGTCTTTTTCAATATCTCATCACTAATACACTATATGTTGTCTCTCATTTCCGTAAAAAATTATCGCCCGGACAAAAAATTCTTGAGTTTTTACCCATGTCTTTTTGTAATGATAAACCTCAATAAAGAGGACAAATTCTGGAAAATGCACCAGAATATGTCCATGAGCATTTGCTACAATAATGTTCCCTTAAGCACATGCTTCATATCAAGCAAATTGTATAACATCATTATTTTTCGTGAAACATTCATATCAAGCAAATTGTATAGCATCCTTATTTTTTATGGAACATTGACTCTGAAAATGGAATAACTTTTTTACCGGAGTCTCAAAATATTTTTAATTTTTGGTTATCAAAAAGGTATTATCCCTAACAAATTAAACTGAATGGTGTAGATCGTTCTTTTTAATTATTCGTGCATCACGTGGTTACTAATACTAGTGAAGGAATTAATAGATAAGCAAAAGTATTAAAATTGACCCGTTTAAATGCTTTCTTAACTAGTAAATTAGCAAATACTCGTGAAATATGTTACTTCTACTCCAAGCAACGCGTTACGTTAAATTAGCAATTCTTAACATAATGGGTCAAACGAATAGTTTTTTCAAGTGCCAGCACAAGTCGTTTAAAATTATCTTTTGAAGTCACATAATATTTGAAAGATTGCTTTTGAAATATTGTTTATGAGAAGTTAATTGTATACAAAAGATACTAAATTAAAGCATAATTACTATTTTATAAATATTTCACTCAAAGTATATGCATTCATTATTGATAGCAGATATTAGAAAAATAAGTATATAATTATTACATATTTTATATGAAAAACATGAGATGAACAATTACGTAAAAGATTAAAGTGTAATAATAGGGAGAGAAACAACTTATTGTTAAAAAGAGGAAAGTCAAAAGTGTTATTTTCTCAGTTTCAAAAATATTAAAACAGTTAGCAGTATTAGATCGATTTAAAGAACTTCTAGTTTTCGATCTTAATTCGAACATCAATTTAACACTTTATAGTAAAATTCATACAATTAAGAACCAGGTAAAAAGTACTCTAAATCACAATTTTTAAATTTTAAATAAATATATAAATAAGCAAAATAATAAATATTGAAAGCTATTTGTATTAATAAGTATAAAATTTAAAAGTTCATGTTTCTATTATTGAAATAATTTTATTGGCTTTGATTTAACTCAAAAAGGGAGGCCACAGGTTAGATAGAGAAGCTCCTCCTTCTCTCTACAATCATCTTCCTCCTATACTCAACTTCTCTATTCTCACAACAATTTTCAACCATGAACCACCCCTCCACCCCTCCCCACAATTCCCCAGAACCACCAGACATTAGTAATATGCATATCGACTCTCCTCCACATAACCCCTCTACAGCCAAGCATTCAAAGAAACTCTCCTCAACCAACAGCTTCTTCCACATACCAATCCCTAAACACTAAACCATCCATCACCTCTAGATTTAACCGATGAAACAACAAATGACCTTCATTACGATTGCCTCATTCCCCTTACCTCCACAGATAAGTCTAGACTATACTCTCCTCGGAAACACTCAGTCATAGTGAAACTGTTTGGTCGACAAGTAGGACACCACATCCTAAAAAACAAACTCACTGCCTTGTGGCAGCCTACTGAGGATGTCTCTCCTATCGATCTAGGCTGTGATTTTTTCCTCATAAAATTCCAACAGGAAGAAAGTATGCAGAAAGCTCTACATGGGGGGCCTTGGTTCATTTTCAACCACTTTTTATCCGTTCGCAAATGGGAGCCTAAGTTCATTGCTTCCAGTGCTCAACTCATGTATTCAGCCGTTTGGATTCGTCTATCAGAGTTGCCTACAGAGTTCTATGACTTTGAAATCTTGCAAAGAGTTGGTTAAAAGATAGGCACATTATTAAAAATCGACACATGCATGTCTGCCACCACGCGAGGTCGTTATGCTCGCATCTGCATTGAGGTGCCTATTGAACAACCAGTGAAGTCCCATGTATTTATTGGAAATCATAGACAACAAATCCTGTACGAAGGACTATCCATGCTCTGCACCTATTGTGGAAGATTTGGCCATACGAAGACTCTTTGTACCTACTCACTTTCCACTACAAATCCTTCCCAACCTTCTTCCTCAAGTTCACCCAAACATCCACACCTGCCTTGTCCTACACCAAATGCCATTAGTAGTGAATGGCAAACTGTATCATTCCAAGCCAGACGTAAGAATACTAGCCCATTAAGAGGTAAAAAAACCTCTCCAACAAGCCCTACTCACACCATACAACACCTTGTTCCTACCAGCACAGACGAGCCAACAGGATCGCACCATCTCCGCTACATGGACAACACAGGTACGTCTTCTAATTCCCCACTCCCATCCCCGATTCCCCCCTCTAAAAAAATTGACAAATCGGCCCCTGGGAAGTTTTTTACTAAGGAATTGCTACAATTACTTAATGAAAATACGGAGGAAACCACACCCAATTCTTCATCGGACCCTTCCCCTTCGGACCCTGGCCCAACACAATCTCTCTCTAAGCCCAGTAATACCAGCACCGCACTCTCTACCCATGCAATTGGCCTGGCCCAATTTTCCACCACTACACCGACTACACAACTTATCCACCAATCAGACGCACCTTCCTCCACGTCTACTCCATTAATTGCCTCCCAATCCCACGTGGCTTCGCCTTTACACGTAGCTGCCACCTCAACCTCTCAGCATTCCCAAACCCCAATTACGTCTGCCATGCTCATTACAGACCCCCATCATGATGGCCCTAGGAAACCTACCACCCCAAGCCCAAACCAATTACGACCCACTTCTTCGTTAGCCCAGACACCCCCTCTCGAACCCAATAACCCACCCATGCAAGAATCATCATTTCACCTTTCAAATCCACCGTTCCATCTGGCCACTCCCATAAATTCCTTCACTGAAGAAAATCCATTAATACCCCCTACTACTTCTAATACCACTATCTTATGCAACGACCCCAACTTAACTAATGTTATAATTAATCAACATGAACCTAATGGGACTAAACCATCAACACAGAAGAACCCGAGCTCACTCATCCTCACCACTTCACAGACATCCCCTCACCATGAATCCACCAAGCAACAACTGGAACCAACCCACCCCACATCTACCACCACTATTCATCACACAATACCCTCCCATGCAAGCTTACCCAAACTCCTGGCTCGAGATGAGCCTACAAGACCATGCATTGACCTTCATGATGGAAGTCGAAGGTCAGGAGGTGATACTAGTGCTACAGAATCCGGCAGACATTGCCCAAATAGTTACAGAGGGCATGAGGATGGGAGTGGAGTTGTACAACCAATATCTATGGGCGATGCACCCTCCCTCCTCCATGCAACACGTTCAAACTCACACCCCGTTGCCCCCGATGTACCACAATCAAACTGCCTCAATGGAGCTTCCATTCTACCCCACTCAACTGCCAGCAAACTCATTAGTGCCATGGATACAACCCAGGGCATCACTATACATCCCCTCACCCTATAAGCTCAGGAAACCCCTTATCAACCAACTCCGATACGCCACCAACAAAACCCTCTCTACGGACTAGAAGAAATTGCTCAACTAGAGGTGGGAGCAGACATGGTGGAGAACAGGGAAACGAGACCCATTCTGTGCTTTCTCAACAACAACAAACACTACGACCTAAAAGAACATTATGCAAGAAAAATGATTATAATGTGTCCCAAGGAACTTCAAAGCTGCTCGTTTAACATCCGTCCGACAAACAACCCAGAAGTGGGAAAATACGGGGTAGTACTGATACCCTCGTTGCAAGTAATGACCTCGACTACCATGGAGACCCAGCGGGCTCCCCCTCCATCTCCCCCTCGCATTAATCAAATGCAGTTCATCATTTGGAATTGCTGGGGAGCTCAGTCACAAGATTTTAAACGGAATTTTAGGTCTCTTCTCAACTATCACCAGCCAGCCCTAGTTGCTCTACTCGAGACTCATGTTCAGTGCCATGATCACTTGAAGGATGAATTTGGCTTCACTCATCTTGCTGAGGCTCCTGCTCAAGGCTATTCTGGCGGAATTGCATTATTATGGCAAGGCGACTTGCTACACCTTGACCAAATTGAGGTATCTTCACAGGCAATTCATTCCATCATCCGGGTATTACCTAATACTCAACGCTGGCTTTTTTCTGTTATTTACGCAAAAAATAATATACATGCACAAAATGAATTATGGGATCAGTTAAGACACTTGCATGATCATACAAATCTGCCTTGGTTGATTGGGGGGACTTTAACGATGTAACTCGTGCTAATGAAAAGTATGGTGGTAACCCCCTCAATAACTCTAGATGTGATAATTTTATTAAATGTCTAGACTACTGTCACCTACTTGATTTAGGATTTAGAGGTAGTCGATTTACCTGGACTAATAAACGTAATTTTGCTAATCGAATACTTGAAAGATTAGATAGATTTGTTAGTAATTATGAGTGGCTTACTCTATTTCCTAAGGCTACAGTCCAACACCTCCCCCGAACTCATTCCGACCATTGTCCTCTACTTCTCACCTTAAGGCATAATTTTAGACGTCAAAAGATATTTCGATTCGAAACCATTTGGGCATCCCACCCTTCCTTTATTCACCTTATTAATAAAAATTGGAGCCCCAATCAAACCCTCCTTAATGCTATAGAAACCTTTACTGATGATGTACAACAATGGAATCAACATACCTTTGGCAACATTTTTAAAAAACAAAAAATAATCCTAGCTCGATTAAATGGTATTCAATCTTCCACCAAATACACTACTAGCCACTTCCTCCAATTACTGGAACACGACCTAATAGAAGAATATAATCACCTGTTAAGATTAGAAGATGAGTTTTGAAAACTCAAATCTCGGATAGATTGGCTACAGCAGGGTGATGCTAATACGAAGTTTTTTTCACATCACTACACTTCATAGAAGGAGACGTAATACAATCACCGCTCTTAAAGATTTAGGAGGAAATTGGGTCACGGAGCAACCACAAGTGGATTCCCTCATCACTAATTACTATGAATCCTTATTTACCACTACCCATTCTCAATACCCTCGTCAAATCATGAGCCCTGATAATCACACTCTAACTCCCAATGACAACCTCTCCTTATCCAGATTTCCTTCTATTAAAGAAATATACCAAACACTCCAATCCTTCAAACCTTTGAAGGCCCCGGGGCCGGATGGCCTTCACCCTTATTTTTACCAACAATTTTGGCCCCAAATATCCACTTCAGTCGTCTCCTTTTGTAACGAGGTGTTCCTTTCTGGCACAATACCAAATCAGGCAAATACCACATATCTTTGTCTCATACCAAAAATCAAGAACCCCTCTATGATTACTCAATATCGCCCAATTGGGCTTTGCAATACCATATATAAATTAATAACTAAAATAATCGTGCGTCGTATCAAACCTCTCATTAATAAATTAATTAGTCCTGAACAATCTTCCTTTCTAAAAGGACGTCGGGCTGCTGATAACGCTATCATCGTTCAAGAAATCCTCCACAAATTTAGGAAGAAGAAAGGCAAAATTGCCAACTTTTTAATAAAATTAGATCTTGAAAAAGCGTTTGATAAAATGGAATGGGCATTCATTAAAGAAACCTTGCACTTCTTTAATTTCCCCTCTAACTTAATAAAACTCATTATGTCGTGCATCACCACCACTTCCATCTCAATCCTTATCAATGGACACCCCTCTCCTTATTTCCAACCCACTAGGGGTATTAGACAAGGCGACCCACTATCTCCATATATTTTCATTTTATGTCTCGAACGTCTCTCTAGACAAATACACCAACCGGTGGATTACCAACAATGGAAACCTATTAAACTCTCACCTAGAGGGCCTCTAATACCTCATCTATTTTTTGCGGATGATATCACTTTCACATCCCTCATCACCACCTCCTCTGTGCACTCCATAATAGACACACTCACAAGTTTCACTCAGAGGTCAGGCCAGAGTATTAATTTCCTGAAATTAAAAAATTTATTTTTTGCAAAATACTTCCCCTTCAGACAGACACTTTGCCCTCTCGTCTTTTAACATGAAGGAAGGTTCCGCCTTTGGTAAATACCTTGGATTTCCCTTATTTGTAAAGAGACCCATGGCACATGACTTCCAATATATCCTTTATAACTTTAAAACTAGATTATCAGGATGGAAATCTCAATTCCTTTCCATTGCGGGACGCACTACTCTTATTAATTCTACACTAAACACCTTACCAAATCATGTTATGCAATTCATTAAAATCCCAAGCGAAGTCATCTCTAAAATGAACCGATACCAATGAAACTTTCTTTGGGGAATTACGGACCGTAAAAAAAGAATCCACTTAGTAAACTGGGAGGTAGTACAAAGAACTAAGCAACAAGGTGGTCTAGGCATCCACAATTTAACTACTAAGAACAATTCCCTACTAGGAAATCTGGCATGGAGATTTTTTCACAATACTAATTCCCTATGGGCTTCCGTTCTCCGTCACCTTTATTCACACCGGAAATCCGGTACTCAAGGCTCCCCCACCTGGAAAAATATTTTAATGGGCTGGAACCTCTGCCAAATCGGAATTGTTTGGCATATTGCTGGGGGTCATACAATCAATATGTGGCACGAGCCATGGATAGAACCTAATATAACTCTTCGTCAGCTAATACATGGTCCACTCTCACCCCAAGAGACCCAAGCCACACTTAGTCAGTATATTTCCCACAATACAATTGATACCTCTTCCTTAACATTTCCCATTCTTGAGAATATAGCTTCTCAAATAGCTCAAATTTTCGTTCCCTCTTTAACTACCCCTCAAGCCACGGATAAAATCATCTGGGGACTTACCTCTAATGGTAAGTTCTCAGTAAAGTCTCTCTACTCTTCTCTCCAATTACCAGCTCCACCATTCCCACACCACTGGCTCTGGAAACTCCATCTACCTCCAAAGATAATATACTTCCTGTGGTTAGTTTCTCATCAACGTCTACCTACTGCTTCATACCTCTACCATATAAATATTACCTCGACTAATCTCTGCACCTTATGCTAGCACCATATTGAAAATAATTACCATCTTCTTTTCAAATGCCCGCGCACCACTGCTATATGGGCTCACCTAGGATTAACAACCCACGTTCAACACTGCCACTCCCACTCGCTTACTCCCATTCAAGCAATCCATTATATAATACATCATGCAAATGCCTTAAACTGTAATGTACCTCCAACCACTTTCATTCCGTATATTGCATGGCATATTTGGAAGTTAAGGAACCATTTAATTTTTAGTAGTCCCAATACAAAACCACCTCCCTCTACTAAGAACTTAATCGCTCAAGCAGTGGAGTTTCACTTCCTTATCAATACACAACGGATAGATCAACGGTCAAAGCATGTAGCTACTCCTATGTATATAAAATGGCATCCACCGGCAGTAGGCACTATAAAGCTAAACACAGATGGTGCGGCCAAAGCTAACCCTACTATCAATGGTCTGGGAGGCATTTTCCGAAATTCTGATGGACATTGCCTACTTGGTTATATGGGATCATCCTCACAGGCAATTCCACATGCATGGAATTAAAAGCCTTATTACAGGGTTTACAACTTGCAAAACAACATCACCTCAAACCATTGGAAATAAATGTGGACTCAACCGAGGTAATAACAATGCTTAAAAATGATAATCTCCATTACTCATCCTCTCTATTGGAATGCAGGTACTTACTCCAGCAGCTGGGTAATCCGCTCATCAAACACACATTCAGGGAGCAAAACTACGCAACACATTTGTTAGCTAAACAAGGCTCTGCTATCCAAGCTCGGGATACCACCACTACTTTCACTCATCCGCTAGACTTTTTGCTACAACAACTACTAGCTGATCAGCAAGGAACTATCTATAAGCGTTTTGTAAAACCTTGCAATGATTCTGACATAATCTATAATCCAGCAGACTTAGGAAATGACCCTTTACAGGGCCAATCGTTGGATCACTCTTTTTGTACTAATGTGCTATTAGCTCCTTGTAATGTTCCTACTTAATTAATATAAAGCTCTTTAGCGGACCCAAAAAAAAAAAAAAACCTCAAAAGGAAAAAACAATCTTTGAATTATTACTCATTTTCTTTTCCAAGACAAGCACCCTTTTATTTTATTTTGCGGAAAACAAAATAAAACTAATATTTCGAAAGAAAAGGAGGAAAAATCCAGCAGATAAACAACACACAGCAGTGTACGTGGCCCGTTGGATAAAAATAGAAGGCCTTACTGCAGCACGACGAGGCGGGGTCAAAAACCCTAGATATTTATCAACGCACACCCACAGAAAGACACACACAGTAATCGCTACCTTCTGTTCGCTAGATTCGTATCCCTTAGCAGTTTACTCCCGAGGTATTATCAGTTATGTTCTCTATGTTATTATGCAAATTTCGCTTTTCCTTTTCTCTTGTACTGTTAGGCTATTACATCTCTTATTGATATGAATGGATCTCCAGAAGGATACTCGGATCTGACTCTAACTATTTAGGATTGAGGTGTAGTTATTGTAGTTCCATAAATCTCTGATTTTCAGATCTATGTTTCTTGGCGGATCTGTGCTCTTTGTTCTTTAATGTAGTTTGATAAGTGTATTATGTGTGTTTGTCTTTAACACAATTAATAATTAAAGAAAAAAGAAATTTCTAGAATTGACAGTGCTTTTGAAAGTTCATGAATTGGTCACTTGTGTATAGGCTCAGACACCATGTAATATTTGCTTGCGTGTCTTTATGGTTCCGTGAGGAATAGTGTTTAGTCTACCAGGGACTGTTGTCACATGCATCCAAGTTTAATGTTTTGTTGCTATCAGAATCTCTAGGAAATCCTGCTGATGTAGAATGTTTTATCGAGCATGTTGTATTGTATCAGGGTAACATGTTGAGTATTTGAGGTAATATGGCAATTGGCATGAAACTAAATGAAAGTTGACTGAACCTATATTTTTCCGATAAGCAGCTTAATTGTATCTCCAAGCTTTTAATTTTTGTTTCTTTCACCTATTCTTGTTTCTTAGGTTGGGTTGGGACAAGGTTATGGGTACTTGTGCTGATGTGAGACTAATTTCTATCTGAATTGTTACAAGTTTTAGTAATTGGATTTACTCTTTATGGATTTATGACTTCTGTTGCAATTTTTCAATGATAAACAGTGTTTTGTCCATATTTTGTAATGGCTGGTCGGCGGGATAGCTATGGGAAGCGGTCTCATTCTCAGTCAGACTACAGTGAAAATGGGGGAAATAAAAGGAGAAGTACTAGAAACGATAAGGATCCTTTCTCTATTGGCCCGGATGATACAGTATACCGGTACTTGTGCCCAATAAAGAAGATTGGCAGTATCATAGGTAAAGGAGGGGAAATTGTTAAACAATTAAGGGTGGACACTAAATCAAAAATCAGAATTGGAGAGACAGTACCTGACTGTGATGAACGCGTTGTCACCATCTACAGCTCAAGTGAAGAAACAAATGAGTTTGATGGCACTGAAGATCGTGTTTGTCCATCTCAGGATGCCCTATTCAGAGTATATGATAAAATTGTTAATGACGACACTATGGACGAGGACTCTGAGGAAGCACCACAGGTTACTGTTAAGCTTCTAGTACCTTCAGATCAGGTTGGATGTATTATCGGAAAAGGGGGACAGATAGTTCAGGACATTCGGAGTGAAACTGGTGCGCAGATTCGTATTTTGAAAGATAAGCATTTGCCTGCATGTGCATTGAGCTCAGATGAACTTGTGCAGGTAATGCGATCACCTTCCATCTCTCCACTTGTGTTGCCTCTGTACCTGCGAACTCGCAATGTTATATCAAAATTTTTTCTTGGTTAGTAAGTTTGATTAGGTGCTCATTCTTCATGCTTCTTGCTGGCTATCACATTTCAGCCTACTTACTTTGGGGATCTTCTTCTTGTTTACAACTTGGTTGACTGTCTGATTTATAAATATACAAAGGGATTAATCATACTGCACTTCTGTTTCGCTCCACCTCTTGAAATTTATTTATGACTGCCCAAGTTGCATTGTTACACAGACATACATTTGGATGGCTCAGTTTCTTTAGTTATAAATGTATGGCCAATTTTCTTAGTAATCGTCTGTTGATCATGCTGGGACTCAATTTTTTATCCTACTGCTCTTAGCCATGGGAATTTAAAAATAAGTTTAGCTGAAATAATGTCACTACTCATCTGGTTGTTGGTTACTTGGTGTTAGATATCTGGTGAAGTTGCTGTAGTGAGGAAGGCTCTCTATGAAATTGCAACTCGTCTTCACAATAATCCATCCCGTTCTCAACACATGCTAGCCTCCGATGCACCAAATGTCTACTCATCGAGCAGTTCACTTATAGCTCCTGCTGGTGGTGCTCCAATTGTGGGAATAGCTCCACTAGTGGGGCCGTATGGGGGTTATAAAGGGGAGAGTGGTGACTGGTCGAGGACTTTCTACTCAGCTCCAAGGGATGAATCATCTTCAAAGGAATTTTCTCTTCGTTTAGTGTGTCCATCTGCAAATATTGGAGGTGTTATTGGCAAAGGTGGTGTCATAATAAACCAAATTAGACAAGAATCTGGTGCAGTGATCAAGGTTAATAGTTCTAATACTGAAGGTGACAATTGTGTGATTTCTATTTCTGCAAAAGAGGTAAATGTTTTCTATTTAAATGGATGTTCGTCAGAATATGCAACTTGAGGATCTTTGTCCACTTAGTAAAGATGTATTTTTATGCTTTGTCTAGTTTTTTGAGGACACATATTCTCCCACAATTGAAGCAGCATTGCGCTTGCAACCAAGGTGCCGTGAGGAAGTGGAACGGGATTCAGGTATTATATCATACACCACAAGGTTGCTGGTTCCAGCATCCCGAATTGGCTGTCTTATTGGGAAAGGAGGATCCATAATAAATGAGATGAGGAAAATCACGAAAGCTAATATTCGTATTCTCTCGAAGGAAGACCTTCCGAAGGTTGCAGCTGAAGATGAGGAGATGGTACAGGTAATTATTCATTGTTAATACTAATTGGGTATTTTGAATATGTAAGGATATCCCCCACTGATTAAAAGGAAAAAAGGTCAGTGATTTCCCCTCTTGTAAAACCAGCTACTGGAGTATGAATATACAATATGAATGAGGCGTCTTTGATCATCACCAAAAAAAATGATGGGCTTTTGATGTGCATGTTGGACATCTTTGATAGCCATAGATTGCCTTTGATCCATTTATGTTCATGAATTGTTTTGGGGAAAGGGGTCTGGCATGAATGGAACTATTGTTTCAGAGGATGTGTCTTTTCCCCTGTTTGTTTTTCCCACTGCTGTGTTGTACCTGCTGTTTCACAAAATTAAACCTCCAAAAAGAGAAAAAAAGAGGCGGAAAGATCATGCCAATGTGAAAAGCTAAGGATGCTGATGCAAACAATTTTTTTCTTCTAGTAGTTCCTTTTCTTTCTTATTATTCCTGTCTATATTATTATTATACTTATTCTCCTCGTTTTCTGTAATTTATTTAGGAGCTTCTATCTTTATACTTGTTATTTTGCTTTGAATAACTTACTCTAAGGACCAGATTGCTTTTCATTTTTCTTAACTGAACCTAGTTATATACTTCCAACATTCATCAGATATCAGGAGATCTTGATGTGGCAAAGGATGCACTCGTACAAGTAACTTCACGTTTAAGGGCAAATCTTTTTGAAAAAGAGGGGCCCATGTCTGCCTTTGTGCAAGTTCTTCCCTACCTCCCCATGTCAACGGATTCAGATACTTTGAAATATGAAAACAGAGATGCTAGGAGACATGCACGAGAACATTCCTACTCAACTGGGTATGGTGGTACTAGTGATCTTCCACATGCTGATGGTTTTGGAAGTTATGGTACTCTCCAGGTAAAACTTTGTTTCATTGATTTGTGCAAAGGAGTTTTTGGGAGTTGCAGTGTTCTCCAGAAGTTCTGTCATTTGTTTCTTTCGGCTAGCTTTCTACTACTTTTGCGGAGCAGCTTTTGTTAATTAATTTCTAATTCCATTTGCAGAGTAGTAGTAGTTTAGGGTATGGGGCATATGAAGGATATTCCCCTGCTTATCCGAAAGAAGGATATTCCCCTGCTTATCCAAAAGAAGGATATTCCCATGGGCGTTCCAGTGGATCTGGGTGAGTTCTTCTTGCCTTCCCTTCGCCAGTGTTGAGTAGGTTTGGTTTCCTATGTAATGGTGATACTGGTATCATGCTGCCTCTAGGTTTTCTTGAAAGAAAAACAAGCACGAGATCGTAGTTTCATTATTTCTTGAATTGTATGCTTTTCAAGAAGCTAAATCTTTTGACCATATATTTGGATCTTGCATGTTTACGTCTGACCTAATGTCATTGTGGTTAGGACTTGTGGTTGGTGAGTTTGTTCTGCCCTTTCTTGCAGAGGATTTCTTATTTAGCTCGTCTACTCTGAACTGCTCTAAAGAATTCAAAGTTGCTTCTGCAATTCTTATTCATTATGTTAAGTTTATGTTACCAGGTCATCAAGGCAAAACTCTGCCTCCCGGAGAAAAAGTTATGGTTATTAGAGCTTGTAACAGGACCACAGGTAGCCCATGAATTTTGGCTCTATTGCATTGAATTTTTAATTTGAGTAGCTGGTTTTATATACCTAGCCCGGCTCATACAAAGTAATACACAGTTTGGTATGATGACCTAACCTATCTTCCAATTATGAAACTAATGATATTCTTTTCCCTTTGTTTCCTTTCCCTCGCTACAAACAGCCGAGATATCTGAAGCCTGAAGCCAGCCTACTGTCACCTTTGATGAAGCCTCATGCCTAAACCAGATGACCAGATGAATGCAGATATCGAAATCCATTGCCTACCTTGATGTTTTCCTTAGGAGGACCATGTCCGAAGATCTTACCTACTATCAAAATTTGCCAAGACCTGACACCATATATTTCCGAGATCAAACTCTTGTGCTTCCAAGAACCTGTGTAGCCTGCGGCCTCATCCTTTCTTCCCATTTGTAGTCTACTATAGATGAATTTCACTGTCAAATCTCGGCCATGTGTCCTGTTGTCTTGTTTTCAGTTTATTGTTATTTGTATGAATCTACTGTTAGTTGGATTTTCATATTTGATGCTGCAGATGCTAGACCTGGTGGAGATTTCTGTGTGTTGTTCTAGTTTTGATTATGATGCAATGTTGCGAAATGAGCCCCTTCACAATATCTTCAAAAGTATTGCTACGTTACTAGAAAGCCTGCATATTTCTTCATTATCTGCGATAATATTCAATCATGATTTCCTATGTGTCCTTGTCATTTTATTGGCAAAAGTATCTTGCTAAAAGTAGATTGCTCTTCTGAAGAGGATGTCGTGGCTATGGAATGTGCATACAGCTTAAGCTACATGGGTGCCTGCAGTTCTCTGTAGACACTGGATCTTCATTGCTGTGATTAGTAGTGCTATATGTATCAGTAATGCCAAAACGCAGTGATATTCACTGTCAATCAATGTGGAATCTGATAGCTCTTGGGAGTACTGGTTGGAATTAACTGAAGCAGGTATATATCTTATGGTAAGTCTCAATATTCTTTTTATTGGATGCTTACTTTTGTTATATGATTTATGTGCAAGTGCTGATATTATTGCGCAATGAATCAGCATATTTGGTGGAATTTACTCATGTATGCAAAAGTAGGTACTCATATTTTCTCTGCATTTGTTTGACTATAATGTTGTTTCAAAAGTGTCTGCTCCCATCTGAAGTTAAACCATCTCTTCTTTGTTCTCTTTCATACTGTTTTTGGACACAGTTAGTATGCTTCATTTGCTGATGCCTTTATTATTGCTCCTATCATGCAATGCTCCATTGTTTGTCCTTCTTGAGAGTGGTGGGGGTTGAGTTGGAGGGTTGGCTATGTCTTGAAGAAGGGTGGTTGAATGATATGAGAGGATACTTGTTTACAAAGACAATCGATCATGGGGTGTGAAAATCGATCCTGAGTTGGGTTGATCTCATACAAGTAGTTGTACCAAGTTGAGGCTTTAGTAGGAGATTGATCCTACAACTAATCATGCGAATTAGAAGTTGCTCTCCTATTGCATAGAATATAGAAGTTCTATATAATTTGTCATGTGTTATCTTTCTTCCTTCCCCTTGCCCCCCCCCCCCCCACCCCCACCCCACCCACAACAACAACAACAAAAACACACAAAAAAACCCACCACACACACTCCAACAAAAAAAACCACCACCACCACACGCAGTTCTTTAAAATCCCCCTGGTGGACATCACAGTTGGAACTTGTTCTAGACAGTCGACTTGCTTGATTATTGACTGGAATTACAACAGGTGCGGTAAAATTACCCCTCATATGATCCAGTTGTTTCTTAGGGTGGTAGATGTTTTTTTTTAATATTTTGATATGTTTGATGTATTCATTAGGTATCCGTATTTGTAATACAACCTTTTGGATGGTAATATTTTGCCTAAGATTCGGAGTTTTTGTTTCCGCTAGAGGCCAAATGACACAGTATCTAATTACAGCGCATTATCTACGTCAGAAGTTAAACCTCCGTGGTTAGGCAAGTTATTTCTTCATTTTCGAAGATAGACGTAATGCGTAAATGTTGATTACCTACACGTTGGTTACTGAAGAATGAGATGTGGAAGGGAGTATTCAACAACTGAAAATCATAGTATTCCGTCAATGATATTTAAATTGCGATCTCCTTAAGCTTGGCTGATAATAATTTAGAAAATGATGCAAATTAAATCTGTCTTAGCTAGTGTCTTTTGAAGTTATGTTTCGATATGTATTTTATTTTGAAGGCAAACTGAATTTTTGTGAGTGGAAGTTTTGCCCAAAAATTGATTTAGACTAGTTTTTGGGAATTTGAATTTTTAAAAATTTTTCTTTTCAAAATCTGAACAAATTTTATGAATAAATAATGTTTTCAGAATTTTTTTTTGCTTCAAAAGTAATCAAAATTTATGTCCAAATGGGTGCTTAATGTGTCTGTTGTACATGCTCTTCTTACTTGCGAGAAAAGAATAAAAATTTCACGGCGTGCTATTTGGGCACAGACACTTAACCTATATCCAGTTTTTTTTGGAAATTATTTGACGTGTACCCAATATTAACGTACTTCAGAAAGAGGCTGATTTTCTCCTCCTATTTCGGTTAGTAAATCTTCCTGCAATTGGCTCGAACCTGACCATTGGTGTCCATTTGAAAAGAGTGGGGAATTTTACAGCTTTGCCTCAAAGTTCACGAGCAGATTAAACAATGTCCCTCTGCATAAACTTTCACTCTATATATACTCTCTTTTTCTGTAGAGAACAGTTTCTACAAATTTGTGAAATTTTCGGCGATTTAACTGTCATCGATGGTGATTGTTGATTGAACTGTCATCGATGGCGATTGTCATTTTCGAATTGGATCTCTAGCAGCGGCGAGTTAACTGATTCCATGTAAATATCATATTGGTGCTTTAATAGTTCTGGGTTTTGAATAAAACAAATAGGCTCAATTATTATAATAATTACAGTTATGCCTCGAAGTTACAAGAATAAATTGCACAAGCAAAGTAAGCACAGTGCTAAGGAGAGAGCGGAGAATATTCAGATTCTGATGAGGATGAGAAGATGAAGGAGAAGAATAAGCAAGCAACTTAAATGTCTAAAGTTTGGCTTGTGTCAAGTACCAATTCAGTAGAAAAATATCCGAAGTTTGACTAAGTTGGCCTTGGCAAGCCAGCTAAGCTTCAATCAAAATTATCTGAAGTTTGGACTTGACAAGGCCATACTATAAGGCGAAAATACATGAAGTTTGCCAAACTCCAGACACCCCCGAGACGAACTTTGCAATTTCAGTTTTTGTAAGTTTGAAGTTGTGCCCAAAGTGGTAAATTTGCAAAAGTATTTCAGCTTTACAATCGCCCCAATAGTGGGTATTTGTGCACTTCACGGCCCGCCTCCCCACAAAAGAGGGTGTAAAATGTAATTCCGTTAAAAGAAAAGATAAGAGAGATTGTTTTAGATGGCTCGGGAGTTGTTGTTAAAAAGTATGCAATAAGAACAATTTTAAAGACTATGATTTTTTGCAAGAAAGGACTCAAGTAGCACAGTGATGGATTTAGTTGCATCAGGATATAAATAATACCAAACATGTCTTAGAGATGAAAAAACATGTATAAGTTAGTTCTTTTTATTTCTAGCCATTGGGTAAATACTAAAGGGATCTTCTCATCTGTGTTGTTGATTGAATTTGCTCAAGAGCTAGTGTTTTTGAAAGAAATCAGCCGATCAAGATGCCGGGGATAAACGATGCTTTTTAGCAATCTTTTGACATCTTTTGTAAACCTTTTCGCTCTTGGACTTGATTTTCTTTGGCTTTAGGTGATGTAGATGTACCTTCTTTAGCCTCTTGATCATTTCATGGTGGCATTTGTTTCCCATGTTTACTAACTTGATGCAGCATTTTCGACTCACCTTTTTATCCTCAAACACGGCCATGACAATCTCTTTGGCGCATTTCTCATTCATCTTTCTCGCGCATTCTTCCAAGAACCTTTGACGTTCTGAAGACTCTTCATCGGGCTGATGACTCGGGGGTTCTGAGGCGTTTCTTGCGTGTTGGTCAGCACTAGGTGAAGAAGCCTTGGGTTGATAACTCGGGGGTAAGGTATATCCCCAGTGTTGTTTAGTAACATGAGAAGAAGACTTAGGTTGATGACTATGGTGTTTGGAGGTATGTTCTGAGTGTTGCTCAGTAATGTGGGCAGAAGCCGCGAACGCCACATTGGCTGTTAACACGAACACAACCATGGCGAAACCTTTGGGAAAAGAAGATGATGCTGCCATTGCTTACAGTTTACGAATTGTTGAGTTGAAACCTTTAGTGGTCCAGAAACTACAAATAGATTTTATAGAACTTGAATGCTCTTTAAAAGTTTATTCATCATTTCAGTTTCATTTACACAAAGTTGTCTTTATGACTAAGTGAATTCAAGAGCAATTTCTCATTTAGAGTTTGTCCAGAAGCTTTGTACCGCATTTATGCAATGTTTTCTAATTTTTCTTTTTCATCCGTCAGCAAGACGTTTGGATTGGTAACCAAATTTAAAATTAAGTTCCTAAAATACCACAGTATAATTATTTTTCTACTAAGGAAAAAATATCATATGAATATGAATGAATTATTACTTCTCATTGCGGAATTTTGTTAATGATACTAGTTAATCATCTAAATACTTGCCACTACTACTATATTCTCAATCCCAAGCTAGTTCAAAATGACTATTTTTATGACGAGTCAACCTACCAACACGAAAAAATTATTTCCTATGTTCACTCACATTTTGAATGGAAGAAGATGATCTTATAAAGATCTCTAACAGTTTATTTTTTCTTGTGTTATTTTTTACTGATCTCATATGAAAATGATTATATATTAAAATAATATTTGTAATGGACAACAAACTCAAATCTCCCCGGGAAATACTAAGAATTAAAAGGTGTTTGGGTAAGCTTATAAATAGATCAAACCAGCTTAACTGCTTAAGCTGATAATCGCACCATCAACTCAATATGATATTTAAACACACCGTTTATTTATGAAATCAATTATTCAATACCTAAAAATGCTTTTTCATCATTTAATCGGCTAACCCAAATGAGTTACAAGGCTTGAGAGGGGCCCAGAAGGGAGGCTGGTGAAATTTTGACGTTGACCATTCACAGCCCATAATCTTTTTTCTGAAGCCCAAAATTTATACATGAAAAGTAGCCCAATGACCAGTCCCTAGATCAGGACCAGGACCAGAACTAGGGGAGTGTCATCCCTGTAACTCCGACACATCCCGGCGGTCGAATGCTTCAACCTCTCCGTGGATTCCGAAAACACAAAACTCACATCAAACAGGTTGCTTCACTTCTCTTTCAGCTTTCTTCTTTTCCAATAAGAGTTCAAGAGTTTCAGCAACATACTACAAAAGCAACATATATTAGCCAAGATTTATCTTCAGCTATTTTCTCTGGTGTTGAAAAATCTGTAAATTCTGGTTCTTTAAGCTTGTTGAGTAATAAAGGTAAGATTTTGCATAACCCCTTTATTAAAGATTGCCTTTTTAGGCTATCTGAGATCTCCCCTGCAACTGCTCGTAGGTTTTGGAGAGTTACTGTGTTGAATCCTCATGATGTTCTTGAAATTTTACTGGGTTTTCAAAATGATAGTGGAAATTTTGAGGTTGAGGTTAAAAAGATTGAATCATTATGGGGAATTTATTGGTGGACTAGTGAGCAAAGTAGTAATTTTAAGCATCTCCCTAAGGCCTCTGAGATCATTGCCTCAATGCTTGTCCGTGCCGGGTTGTTTAAGGAAGTTGAGTGCTTGGTTTCATTGTTGGATAGCCAAGGAACTTTCTTGGATAATCATGAGATTTACAGTAATCTAATTGAAGTGTTTGTGTGTGATCATCGATTAGAGAAAGCTATTACATGTTATGATCGAATGAGGATGCATGGTTTATCCCCATCAATGTCATGTTATCGAGTTCTCCTCGATTTCTTGATTCAAATAAATGAAACACAATTGGCATTTCAAATTTATACTGATGCTGTAGACATTGGCTTAGGAAGGAGTGTATCTGAAGGGGGCATTTATGAGGGTGTTATTAGACTTTTATGTGCCGCTGCAAAAGTTCAGGATGCCAGGAATCTGGTTAAGAAGGCCCTGGATTTTGGAATTGAACCTAATCATCTAGTCCTCAATTCTGTTGCTTCTGGTTATTGTGGTAAAAGAGATTATGATGATCTGCTGAGTTTCTTTGTCGACATTAGTTGCAAACCTGATGCAACTGTGGTCAATAAGCTCATACATTCTGTATGTGGACAATTTGGTTTTGTGAGTGGGAACTCATATGTGCTGAAGTTAGATCAATTGGGTTTTTCTATGAATGAAATAACATTTGGGATTTTGATTGGATGGGCTTGTCGTGAAGGAAAACTGAAGGATGCCTTCTTTTATCTCTCAGAGATCCTTTCAATAAATCTAAAGCCTCATATATATTCCTATGATGCTATTCTCAGTGGGCTTTTCAAGGAGGGTATGTGGAAGCACTACCGAGATATTCTTCTAGAAATGGATGATCAGGAGGTGGAGCCCCAATTATCTACTTTCAGGGTTCTTTTAGCTGGGTTTTGTAAAGCTAGGCAATTTGATGAAGTGAACATAGTGGTTTCAAAGATGGTAGATCGTGGCTTGTACCAACTATCACCTACAGAAGATCCACTTTCCGGAGCATTTAGATTCTTAGGACTCAACTCTTCTGCTGTGAAAATCAGAAGAGACAATGATACAAGATTTCATAAAGCAGAATTCTTTGATAATCTAGGCAATGGGCTTTATCTGGATACGGATCTGGAACAGTATGAGAGAGCTATTGATAAAGTCCTTAACGATGCCATGCTTCCTGATTTTAACTCCTTTGTATGGGATGATTACATGAAAAAAGACATGAAAGATGCTGTGATGATGGTGGATCAAATAACTCGTTGGGGCCAAGAAATATCCTTAGGTGCTCTGGATGCCCTAGTGAAAGGGCTGTGTGCATCTAACATTTGTATTAAGACCATTTCTGATCTGTTGGAGAAAGCTCCAAATTTGACATGTAAGCTTGATCGAGAAATTTTGAATAAGCTTGTTCAGAAATACAGCAAAAAAGGATATTTGCACAGGGCAAGAGCGATTTTGCATGGCATGCTAGGAAGACATATAAGACTTGATAGTGAAACTCATACTGCTCTGCTGACGGGCTTATGCAAGAAAGGTGATATGAGAGGTCTAACCGCTTACTGGAACCTCGCACAAAATAATAACTGGTTACCTGATTTGGAGGGTGGGAAAGAACTCTTCGGTCGCCTATGCAGGCGAAGACGGCTTAATGAATCACTAGAGCTTTTTAAAACCTTACTGTCGCTCTACCCTAATGAAGTAAGTGATGCTTTTCATGTGTTCCTTGAAAAGCTCAGTGCTGAAGGTTTCTCAAGCACTGCTAAGGTTCTGGCAAAGGAAATCCTGAGCCAGGGAAGTATTTTGAGTCACTCGGCTCATAGCCATCTTATTCTACAGTTCTGTAAATGGAGAAGTTTTTGTGAAGCTGCTGTCCTTTGTGATAGCATGCTTGCTAAGGACTGGATCCCGCCCTTGGACGCATCTGTGCAATTAATTCCTCAGCTGTGTAGGTCTGCTAATTCTGACAAAGCTGTTGCGCTGAAAGATATTTGTTTAAGAGACCAGCCTTCTGCTGTGCTTCCTTTACACGGTGCTTTAATTCATGGGTTTTTCAAGTCCGGGAGGATAAGAGAAGCAATCAGTCTCTTCCAAGAGACATTGGCAAAGGATCTATTTCTGAGTGTGGAAATTTATGATGTTCTGTTTCAAGGCTACTGTCAAGCTAAAAAGAGGAAGAAAGTCGAGGAGCTGCTTGGCGTCGTGATAAGGAAGAACTTAGGTATCAGTGTCGCAAGTTACCGCAATATAGTGCGGCTGATGTGTACAGAAGGCAAGGTATCTACAGCATTATGCCTGAAAGAACATATGCTTAAACAAAGCAACCCTCCTACTGCCGTGATTTATAATATTTTGATTTATTCCCTTTTCTCAGTTAACGAAACATCAGTTGTTAATACTCTTGTATATGAGCTCCTAGGTATAGGACTGCAACTAGATGAGGTGACTTACAATTATCTCGTTCAGGGGCTCTGTTGGTGTAAAGATTTGTCATCTGCCACACAATATCTAAAAACTATGATGGAGAAAGATCTGAGGCCAAGTAACCGTAGTTTGAGAGAGGTGATAAAATGCCTTTGTTGTTATGGGGAGCTTGAAGAAGCTTTAAGCTTGAGCAAGGAAATGGAGTTTAAAGGTCGGAATCATGGTTCAGTCATTCAAATTAATATAGTGGAGACCCTTCTTTCTCAAGGTAAGCTAAGGGAAGCCATAAACTTTTTGGACCGGATGGCAATAAAAGGCCTCATTCCTGAAAATATTGATTATAATTATCTGATTAAGCGACTTTGTCAGCACGGAAGGGTAGATAAATCAGTAGATCTTATGGACATTATGTTGAGAAAAGGGAATGTGCCAGAGTCTAGCAGTTTTGATTACGTGATTCAGAATTTCTGTACTTGGCGTAAACTGGATGTAGCGCTGAATTTCCATGCAGAGATGTTATGTAGAAATCAAAGGCCTAGCATAAACACTTGGAGCATTCTAATCAAGAGCTTAAGTGAAGGAGGACAAGTTGAAGAGGCAGGAAAACAACTTGATTCAATGATTCAGCTTGGTGAAATCCCGAGCAGGGAAACGTATTCATTGCTGATCAACATGTATCGCTCCCAGAATAATCTTAACAAGGCATCTGAGCTCCTACGTTCCATGCAACGATGTGGATATGAACCTGATTTTGAAACTCACTGGTCTCTGATAAACAATTTGCGTGATTCAAGTGATAATATAAATAATGGCAAGCAGAATGGGGGATTTTTGTCCAGATTTCTTTCAGAAGTTGGATTTGCTAGGAAGAATAAAGGGGGATGAAATATCTTGTACCATCGTTTGTGCATGTCTAAGCTTGGTTTTTTCTTTTAGCTATATGTATCTTTTGTTTGCCACTTATCCTTTTTCTCTCCCTTTTTTTCTTTTATCTTCCATCTTTCTTCCTCCCTTGCTTTCCTCTTCTTTCTTCTTGCCCTTCCTGAGCCGAGGGTCTATTGGAAACAGCCTCTCTACCTGAATTAGGTAGGGGTAAGGTCTGCGTACAGACTACCCTCCCAGACCCCACTTGTTGGATCAAACTGGGTTTGTTGTTGTTGTTGTATATGTATCTTTTGTTATATTTGGTCCGAGTATAGTTGCCTCTGTCATTCTTTTATATATAGGTTTCACTTATATGAAAGCCACAAGTAGCAGGCTTTACAAGCGTTGGAGCGCAATGGTATTTCAGGTCATTGCAAACTGCAAAAATGACAATAGTTAAAAAAAAAAAACGGTGTGTGTGTGTGTGTGTGTGTTTGGTTGGTTGGGTTGGGGGGGGGGGGTTATTTGAAGTTGAAGTTGAAAGATTATTTGGAATTTGTTGTATTTGGATATGAGTTTTACTTGGGAAAAGTTGAAGATTTTGTAAGTAAATTCACTTGAAGTACTTCTCGAATAAGTTTTTCAATATTCCATTAGTATTTGCAAATATTTTAGAGGTCAGTATTCAATGATATTATGGTATATTAGACACAAGCAAAATACATATAAAAATGCCAAAAGTATTGTTAGTATGTCTTTAATATACTAAGAGTATGTTGTTAAGGATACGACGAGAATGTTAAAGTGCAAAAGATTTCAAATGTAGGAGGTTTAAAAATAAGAACGAATGGAGGAGTAATAATTGTTGCGTGTATACTACAAGAATGGTGCATGTATATAACCTTGTTTAAGACCAAAAAAGGAAAGCAATAACCCACAATGCAAAACAAACCATTAATTAATATAATTTCTTGTACAGAAGAATCCTTGATTACACATAAATGAAAACTTAAAAAAAATAAAGAAGGCTCCACGTATCACAGAAAGCACATCCTTTTATACAAGAAATTACGTGGAAATTAAAGCAAGAACACAAGGAACAATCTTAAACATGAGAGATACAAGGTACGTAAACTCAAATCTTGAAAAACATAGAAACGAGCACACATTAAAACCCACAAGCTAAGTGATACGTACAGCTGGGCAAGAAGAAATTAAATTAATCAACGACGAGAAAGGGAGAGAGCAGAGAGCAAGACTAAGAGTATGAAGATTATAATTCCAATAAAGGAACCAACTAAGGAACCAGAAGTACGATGGCAAAAGGAGTCGTATTGTTGGCAGATTGGAAACCAGTTTGTCTTTGTATTTCCTTTGTGTGCTAAGTACACTATTGCTGCTGATGCTGATGCTCCCGCCGTCAATAGCGCCATCATTGCCTTCATTTGAAAATGAGACAGTACGGTTAGTTTAAAGTTCTATGATGTAAGAAATCTCTACACGATCACGTCATTTAAATGGTAATTATAGGTAAAAATTCATATTATAAGCATGCATTTAAGTGATAACTTGGTAAATTTAAATGCATCTAACCTACAATAACATGTCAACTCCAATCCGCATATAAAAAAAAAGGAGTTTTATAAGTATTGCACACTGACGATGATAAAGTATATTTAGATAATCATGTTGCTTATATATAGTGTAATTACAAGTATATATAACTTATTACTACTTCCCAAAAGATCTTTATACTTGTGGTAATATATATAACTTAATCCTAATAAAGAAAAGGAAAAGGAAAAGGAAAAGGAAAAGGAAATACCGCGTCAAAGAATATTAAGGCAATCCTGCTTGCTTGTGCTCGACTCCTCATGATGTGGAAGATGGACATCCCCAGAGAAAGTAGCAGATATGCACTTACTATTGCATTTGCAACCACAAAGAACCTGTATAATTTCAACATGTGGATTAATTACGTACTAAGGTCTTTTTGTGTATATATACTGACATGCACTGCATGTTGATCATAAGATATAGTAGTGTATAAGTGCTTACGTGAAGGTGGGTAGATCGCTATACTTGGCCCTGAAACGAACGAACTGAGTGAAAAAAGGTAGTGTTTCATTAGTAGTTCCCATGGCAATGGCACTTCCTAAGGTGGCAATTATGGCGATTATCCTTAGAAATAAGTCAAGTATAGACATTCCTCTATTCACCCCTCTTTGTGTAACCTTGGAACCATGACCAACTTCAACTGCACCTGCCTTCATTTTTCTTAATTAATTAAAGACTTGCTACGTACAAATATTGTAAGAAGAGGAAAGAAGACTATGATCTTTTGGAATTGTGCTTGCTTTAGAGGGCTGAACATGCCAATTTATATGCGTCGAGAAACACATAATTAACACCACACACCTTTAATATTACACCAGCTCACCATACATGTTACCCAAGTGGCAATTCCTCTTTGGATTTTAATACACTATTTAATTATGTGTTGCTAAATTACTAATGTCTACACTTACTTATCTCTAATTTAATCACCTTTTCTACAATTTCATGTAAATAAAACATATTTCAACAAATTACAACATTTTGTATATCAAATAGGGTTGAATTTTGTTACCAAACTTCTACTTATTTAATTATATTTTAAAATATTTTTCTTTAAGTACGAGCCTATTTTTTTTCCCCAAACACATGAAATTTTTTGTCGTCGACAGTGAGACTTGAACCAATGATTTCTATCTACTCATATTATATGTATATGTTAAGTTGTGTAATCACATTGACCTTGTTTACTAACTAGGAGTATATCTTTAGCACAGGTAAATGATTCCTATTTTCATGATTCTTCGATTGATGTGGTTCATAGTCTTAATTTAGAAACTAATCATATATATGTCGTATTAAACTTCAAATATACACTGGCTCTGTTTTAAATCTAATTTGGAAGTAGGTCAATGCTATTATATTGGGCCATTTAACATTAATCACCAATTTTAGCCTATGAGCTAAAGTACAATATTCCAGTTAAAATATCAATATTTCTGTAACGTAGACCTCATTCATATCTGGTCAAACTGCCAAAAAAGAAAAAAGATGGTAATACAAGTTGGACCTAAATCAAGACAACTGTGACACCTACTAGCTCTTTTCACTTTTCCATAATGTCCACCTGCTCTCGTACTTGCTCTACCGTCAATGAATTGAATATATCTCCAACTCCATTATACTTTTTTTTTTCTCCAGAAATATTGGAAATTTTTATTGTTAATAGCTTGAAAAAGGAAGTAGCTTACATGTGTAAGGTAAGATCCAATTTCTTATACACATTTTTTAGTTAAAGCTTTTTCTGAATTGAGTATCATATCCTGAGCACGTTAGGCAGTTGGACCTGATAAGGTTCTTTCCTTCTGGAGAGAAACAAATGAAGGATGAGTAGTTGGATTGTGGCCTATGTGAAATATATTATTTCTCGCTAACCAATCCAATTCATTCCAGGTATATTATTTCCTTGGAAACAGATACACTATTATATTGTTATGTGGACATCTGGAATGAAATAGCCCGTACCAACAAAGGTAATTAATTATTTTAATGAACAAATTTTCGTGTTAAAAAAGTTAGCACTAATATAAACTACTTCATTCGTACTGCAAGAGAAACACCAAAGATTTAGTTATGTGGAGCCGCCAGTTTTTAGTATGGAGCGTTGGGTCTTTTTATGCGACGTTAATCCAAATTAGTCGGACTAGTAAATTTTGCATATGAAATAATTATCTATAAGAAATTAAGTCCTAACTCCTAGCCGCCAATTAGGAAGACGCAAAAGGAAAGAAGATGGATTGGTTGAAATTCAAACTTTGGATATTCTATCTAGTACCAACTAAACCTTGCTTTATTTTCCTAAAGTTGCATCATCTGACAATCTTTATATCTGTTCTATTTTGCCGAATATGGGAATGCTTAGTTAGGTGCCAAATGTGTGGAAAGATACCAAATGTTATAAAGTTCAATTACGACTACCATATTCAACAGAAAGGGTTAATAACTTGCTAGAGCTGAGATGACAAACATATAGTATAATAAAATAAATAAGTTTATATATGAATTTAAATATACTAGTATCTATGAACGTGCGTTGCACGTTAATAATGACACGTGATGATTTAAACATTTATTTATATGGAGGAACAATAAAATCTAATTAAAGAGAAATTTTTTATGTATAATAATACAACAATCATCTAAATGACGAAAAATATTATTCCATTAGCATAATACATGAATTTAAAATAAAAGAATATCATCAAAAATTACACAAATTATTAATTTTGTCATGTTAATTAAATAATTATGTATTAGTTCAAAAGTATTTAATCTGATGGTATCTTAACGAACACTTCTTTGTGGACAATATTTTTTTGTGTATGTTTCCTCCTAATGCTTTGGTTGCTCTACCTTAACCAGAACTCTTGTTGTCGATCTTGATATCCCTCTTGAAAGTGCAACATACAATTGCTCGTGCAAGAAAATATATTACGGTAAATATAGCCCAATGTTTAGGATGTTTGCCCTTGTGCTTTATTTATTATATTTGTAAAACATAAACATACTAAAAATTATTTTCACATATATTTAAAAGGATATTCCTTGGCTTCAGAAGATGAAAGTCGAATTCAGGGATAAGAATATACTTAGAAGCACATTGACCAGTATCACAATTTTTGCATATATGACGTTATTGTCAAAACTTCTGTATCATATGTGTGCTATTACATAAGCTATTTGGCGCATCTAAATTTTTCAGTAGCATGACGAACATATTTTTCTTCAAATTTAACCTATATTCATTGGAAGATCAATTTTAACTTAGTCTATTATATATACTGTGACACTAACATACATAAGAAATAATAAACTTGACAACAAACATGTAGAGTATAAGGGGATTTTATATCAAAGTATTTAAGTATTCTTCTTGGTAGTAATTATTGATATCATTTTCTGCTGAGTCAAAAAGTGAAAAATATTTTCTTTTTACTATAAAATTTTGCAATCAACCTTATATTTAGTTGATCAACATATTCATTTCTGCTAGCTAAGATATCTTTTTAATTCTATCATGCGATTTGCACAAATTGCGTTTTAATCTAATGATAGAAATATTTTTCTTATTAAATGCTATACCATCACCGTTGAGATTGATAACCATGTGTTTAGGAAGAATCAAATCATCTTTTATTGAATGCTCTTCTTCGTTTCCGACACGAAGCAAAAAAAAAAAACTGAATACTTGATCTGTTCTTACTTAATATTTCTTGTCAGTCGAATCCTTTTCATTTGAGGCCAAAAGTATAACTTTGGCAAGCTAGCTTTTATAGTCTCTGCTTTTGTTGATTTTAGAACTATGGGTAATACTTGACAGAAATCACCTCCAATATTAATTTTCCACCAAATGGTTCATTAATATCCAATATATCTCTAGAATTTCGGCAATTATTTCGATTGTTTGATTAACCATAAGTTCTTCATCCCATATTATTAATTTTGTTTTCCTTATATTTAGCACAATTGCTCTGCTTTGATATATTTGTGATGGTTTATTTATGTTGTTTGAAAAGATATATCAAATCTAAAGTGGGTGGCCTCACAATAAAATCGTTGTCGTTACACCACTTGCTATTATTTCTAACCGTGGCATGCCTCTTGATATATGATATTTGCAAGTAATGCATGACATAGAAATATTATTTCGATTCCGCCGGAGGCATCTACAAAGAATAATCCCGTTATACCAGAGTCGACTATTTATAATATAATCTTCAAAGCTTGTTCTTGATTAGGATTTAGCTTTGATTGTGCTTCCTCAGACACTTGTATAGCATTTTGATTCTTAATAATATATTAACATTTTTACTTTGTATTATAACGCTCTTTTTATGGAATAAATTTACTTACACTAAGATTTTTTTTAACTTGAATAAGAATTTTACTCATATGACGAATTTCAAAAATAATTGAATTGGATTGTCTTGCTAAATAATTAATTAAAAGATTTAATTATTTGGTTTTAACATAAAAAATAATTTATTCTATTTTGATTCAGATCTTAATATTAGTTCATCTCTTGTTTTGAATATTTAATTTTAATTATAATTTTATTCACCATTTTTCAAAGAGTAAAAGATTGATATGACATTTCACTTTTAGATTGTTATGTTTGTAGAATTATTAGTGTTATTGACTCTTACCAACTATTTTTCTCTTTCTTACACATTTATATTTTTAATCATGAAAAAGCACGAGAAGGATCCAAACATAATAATCACCAATATCCGCACAATTAGAAAAGAAAGAAATTTATGCTTACCTTTTCAAAGTTGAAACCCTAACAGATCTAGCGAAACGAACCATGCCTATTAGGGCGATCAATATCTCTTAAATAAGTTATAATTATGTTTGTTTGTTTCCTAAAAGAATTAAGACTGTGAGTTGTGAGTGCGTAAAATTTCTAATCTCGATGTAATTTCTAATGATATGAATCCTTCTTTGGTTATCTTATAATTTTAGTTATTATCACCTCCTCATTCTTTGTTTTGTTAGATTTTTTCTTTTTTAAAGGAATAAAAAAAAATTAAAATAAACTTAATTTGAGGAAGTTTTGAAAGATCATCAAATTAAGAAATCTTTTTATAGAGTATTTTATTGAAAAGAGTTCAATATTTAGTGGAACGTAACTAAAATAAACTTAATTTGAGAATTGAGGGAAGTTTTAAAAGATCATCAAATTAAAAACTCTTTTATAGAGTATTTTATTGAAAAGATAAGGAATTCAAGTAGAAAACCGGTACTTGATGGAACGTAATTAAACTTATAATTAGTGCATGGTTGATATTTCAACGAAGATCAAATACATAATATTAGGCGAGAAGTTTACTTTCAAGGGAGAGAAAATAGGAGTAGACAATATAACTAAAGCTGTAATTAATTATCTTCTATTTATTATAAAGTACTTTTACAGTTTTGTAAGTATTTTAGGGATATTTTGGTAAATCAATATTAATATTCGTGCTTTTATAATAATATAGATAGATAGATATAAATATAGATTATGTAATTTTTTTTATATATCGGTACACTTTAATATGTTATAACATGTTACTTATCTAATTTAACTATACACAACGTGTGTATGTATGTATATATGTTTCAATCAGATTATAGTTGCTAACTACATTTAATTAGTACTTGCCAGCCAGTTGATGAATATTTTTTAGTTAATTAGTAAAGTTCGCAAAACCAACCGTCCCATGTACCACTTGGGTTTGCTGTTAATCATGTGCATAGTGGCATCTTGATTATACAGT